GGAAAAGGAATGTTATGAAGAAGAAGAGAGTGAAGACTTGGGTTATACCTACTAATTCTGAATGTTTCCCTCCTTGGTTCCCTATCACATTCCACCCATTCCTCCGGGGAACTCTCGAGGATACAATTCTGCCTGTCTACCCAGGATGGGCTAGTTGCCTTATTTACCCAGACCAATACGGGGAAAGTTTTATTCCTTCATTAGGTTGACATGAAATTAACATTTTCCAAGTGGACATTGAACTGCAAAATTAAATTGCTAATAATAGCTGACATTATTGAGAATTTTCCTATGTGCCACGCGCTGTTCTAAGAGCTTGGTGTAATCTCACTTTATTATCAAAACAACACAATGGAGTAGGTATTATTAACATTCCCGTTGGGGAAGCTAAGGTAGAGAGGGGTTAAATAACTTGCCCCACATCACACAGTGAGTGAGTGGCAGAGTTGGATAAACATTCAATAAATGGATTTGCACTGAGTTACCTGCAGAGCTGCAAAGGCGAATAGAAACACAGTTTGCTGGGTTTCATGTCAAAGGCCTGAATCCTGGTGTGTGAACCTTGAATTTGAGAAGACCCAGCCCAGTAGAAAAAGTGAGAGAGGTGGAGAAATCAGCGCTGTAGGCGTTCAACATGCATTTGCTGACCTGCTGTGTGCCCCACACTGTGCCTGGTTTTAAAAAGAAATCAAAATAAAAGTGAAGGACACTGTGCATGCCCTTGAGGGCCTTACATGTTTCCCGGAGGGCCAGGGACATGAGCTAGTTTCTGTATCTCTGATTTTGCAAAGATGGGTTCGTTTTTTATTTCAAGATAATGTATAGCTCTGGGGAACCTACTATCCCGGAGGAGATGGCTGGATGGATGGACTGGTCAGGGCCACAAGCCCCAGGTGGCACCTCTGGCTGGAAGAATTCATTAGATTTTAAGTTCCAAAGGAACCTAGCATGGGGACTGATGAGGTTTGTGCCAAACAGGAACCAGGCAGGACTGGAATCCTGCACCTGGGCAAGCAGGGGTAAACGGCGGCAACTAGCTGTCCCAGGAGTTTTTGAGGAGGAGTAGTGGGAAGTAGGATGGAAAGAGCCAAGGAGTCCTGGAAGAGGGGTAGTTGCAGAGAACTTGGTGGTGGGGGATGGTCCCGAGTAACTCAAGGCAAATAACAATTGTTCTGGTGGGTGAGGGGCCCTTTAGTGGGAAAAGCTGGATTCAGAGTCATTTCTTGGCCCTGGTTTCCTTCCTGGTAAAGTATCAACGGTAAGTATCAACTTTGGTAAGTATGCCTGAGAAGTACCATGTAGTTCAATAGATCACACATCAGACTGGAAAAGGCAGAGTGATAACAGTCATTATTATTAATGATATGCATCATTGAAAACATTATTATAAATTACAGGGAATTAGTGACAATATTAGGTATCTCAGACTCAGAGAATCTTAGGGCTGCCAGAGCTATCAGGGGCCATCCCCTCCAGCCTCCCTCAATGGGGATTAGAATTTTCTGTTCAATATCCATGAAAACTGTCATTAATCTTATTACAAGCAAGATTGTGCATGATGAATTTCAGAGTTCATCCCAGGCAGGAAGTGGCTCCCCGTACTCCAATCAGATCAAGGCCTGATGGTTATGACACCATATTCCTGGTGGCCCCATGTGGAGCCATCATTCCTGCCTTCACAAGAAATCTAGAGGCCAGACAAAAAGCCGCTCTCAGAGTGCTGTGGCCAAAATCATGATGGGAAACTAGGTACAGAGCCAGGATCTTGGCTGAGAAAATCTCCATGGGGGAGGACGCTGCTCCCTTGCCAAATCACTATTGGTCTCCATGACACTGAGAAAAGGAAGGAGGTCAGAAAGGGGCATAAAGCACATGGTAGCCTCCCCAGTCCCTGATGCTCCTTCATGTTGCGAGATCTACAGTCCCAGTAGCAGTAAGGAGGACCTGGAAAATCCCCGAGTGCACCCTGGGCTCCCTTGCTTATCACTTCCCTGATCCCTGCTCACCCTTTATCCTCACCCTTTATCCTCAGTCTGGCATAATAACCAAAGTCTAACAACTGGGCTCTGGAATGACCTAAATGCTGCCACCAATGAGAAAGCAAGTTGTGTTTTCCAAGTTCTTATAGAGTTTATGGGGCAGAAGATGGTCTCAAATGAAATCTTCAGACCCCAGAACATGTGTTCCCATCACTCCCAACCTCCATACCCCCCCCACTGCCCCCAGCCACTGCAGTGATGGCTGTACTGCTACAGCAAAATACAAGTAAGGCCCAGAAGGCAACCGGAAGAAGGAAAGAAAATGTCCACATGGCGGAAGGACAATCAAGCCTGGAAGAGGTGAAAAAGGATATGGGGCCCTGGATAGCTGCAGCATAGGGCTGAAAAGGGTGACTCTGCCAGGAATTCCCCATGGGCACAAGGCTTTCTCAGCCCTTCAGTGCCAGGTCAGCTGGAACAGGGTCAGAGACCATGGTCTACTGTTGGTTAAGAAGGGGGGAGGTGAGAGGGATCAGGCAAGCATGAGTAGAGAAGAGGTAAGAGGTAGAATCAGAGGAACAATTGGGAAGAGACAGCTGTGTGAATCCAGGGTATAGGCCTAGCCCAACTGCCATCTACATCCAGAAGAGGTCAAGAGAGTAGAGGCCTGCAATGGGGCTCCATCTGGAGCATCCTTGTGGGCCCTCTACATAGTGAAGCCAGGAGACAAGCGGGTCCACCAAGAAACTGAGGTCGTTTTCAGGATTTGGGTGTTTGTACTGTATATGTCTTGAGGCTCTTCTTCTTCCCTGTGGGAAGGCAAAGACTCCTGACCCTGTATAAGAAGAGACGCTCATTGGGAAATCATGGCTGTGTCTCTACCTGGACATCAAGGTTTAGTAAAGGAAGAAAGGGCTGGCTTCTCCATGAATACTGGAGGCTCTAGGGCATGGCCCCACCATTAAATCCACTTGTCTCTTCTAGGTCTTCATGAAGGCATGACTGGACACCACATGAGTGGAGAGTGACTGAGGTGATGAGCCCCTGACCTTCCAGATTATTCCAGAGTAAATTTATTGAGAGCTGTTGCACAGAAGAGTAGATGTCTTTCAGAAAGTTTTGTGGAATCTGGGTTGGCCATAAAGCAGCTAGGGAAGGGGAGACTTAGGACTCTCCTCTCTTGGTCGTGAGGCACCATGAATAGTAAAGCTCTTTGTTGAAGAGTCCATTATACAAAGGGCTGTCCAAGCAGGGAAGAGGAACTCATGTGATTTTTCTGTACAGTGCAGTAAGCATCTTGCATACTTCATGTGCTATTACTCATAATCCTACAAGGATTATGCCACAAGGGTTAGAACACCCATTTTACCACTGAGAAAACTGAGACACGGAAAGGATACAACTTGCTGCGGGTCATATAATTACCCAGGGAAGAGCTGGGTAATTAGTCACCTGATAATTGTGGAGTTGCCCCAAGTTTACCTAAGAACAGTGAAGGACTCTCCGTGAATCACCTGGAAGGAATCATGTGAGTTAGAAACGAAAATATAACATTAAAATTTGGAAGACATGGAGAGATCTATTGAACAGATATTTAATGACTTCTCTGTGCCTGTCCTAGTAGTGCCTGTGAGAAAGAGAAGACTTCCCCAAAGGCCTTAAACATCCTGAAAAACTGAGGATTAAACAAGCCCCAAGTCCCTATTTGCTTTTTTTTGCTTTTGTTTTCTAAAATGTGGGGGTAGGAGGAATAAGCCAGTAGGCCCAACAGGTCAAGTGCACTGCAGACCCTCTCCTTCAAGGGAGCTGAATCTTTTTCCTGTTTTCAGTATCCTCATCTGTAAAATGGCCATGGTATCCCTCTACCTCCAAGGAACCCCTGGATTGTAAATCACAGAGCTCTTCATAGCTACACAAATAACCCATAACATTTGAGAAGTCACCAATTCATGATGATTAATGACCTGGATCAATGATAACACGGTTATAAATTACAGAACACTAATGATTATCATATGGGTATTAAGCCCAGAGTCTCAGGGCTGGAAAGATCAGAGATCTCCAAATAAACACTCCTCTGCTCATCAATATCCCTGTCAGGTGGTATTATTCTGATTACAATTGATTCTATACTTTTAATTTATAAGTCTCCCAAGGTAGAGAACACATTTACTCATTCCCTATGCTCCAATGAGCTCCATGCTTGAAGACTGTGGCTCTAGCTTTGTACCATTCCTGCTCCGTAGGAGACCCCCAGAGTCATTACAGAAAACTCCCAGAATATTCCATGGTCCTCATTGGAGTGGAAAAATACAGAGCAAGGGCCCCCAAGGTGGGGAGTCTTAGGGAGATCTGTTCTCTTGCCAAATCAGCTCTGGTCTTCATGGCACACGGGCAAAACAAGAAAGGAAGAGGGGGGCAGGGCACTGGGCAACCTCTGAAGCCCCAGTGAGTGAATGCTTTGTTTTCTGAGAGGACTTTCATTACCAACTGTGAGACCCAGGAAAGCTGCCCACCACCTGCCAGGTGCACAGCACAGGCCCACTGATGGGGTACCTGTACTCTTCGATCAACAACCTTGTCCCACCAGGAATTGCTTCCTTATTAATTCTCCCTTTATCCTTAATTAAGGACTAGGAGAACTAAGTTAAAAAATAGTAACTAATTAAATTCCAGGACCTCAGTATGAATCACTATTTACCCCCTTTTACATCCTTCCTAGTGACCTGACATTCCAATGGAGAAATTTGTTCCTTTGGTTCTTGCCTTATCACAAGGCAGATGCTCAAAGAAAACCCTGCCAGGTATCTAGCAAACCAACTGGTGTCTGGTCTTTCATAGTAACAAGAATTGTTTAAAGACGGAGGTGGAGAGAGCCAGGGATACCCTTTATTAATAGCCCTCCCTGCCTTCCCTCATTGCCCCCTTCTCTGTGGCACGAACACTGTCCACTGGTTTTGGATGGAAAGAAAAGGACTATTCAGTCTTCTGATTCAGGACACCAATCACAAGTCCCAGCAGTCAAGGACACAAAGCCTTTATTAAGTTGGTCTACCCAACCAACTAAGGTCTGAGGGGCCCAGTCACCTCTGGTGTCTGGCCAGGCCCCTTGACTCTACAGGCCTCCCTCATGGAAGGGCAGTTTTGAGGAACAAGATAATGCACAAAAGAGGGAGAATATACCCAAGTGAAGAGCCAAGTTTCCATGTTGATGGTAAATGGAAGAGTCTTTGGGTCTGAGTGGAGTTCTGGGACAAAGGGGGAAAAGATGATGGGAAGGGACCCACCCTCTGTACTGATACCAAAGCCTACAGTGGGGCTCCTGCTCACGCCCAGCCCTCTCTATTGAGGAGTCCTGTGAGCCCTGACCTTTGAAGGAACCCTGACCCGTGAGGGCTAGGTCTTCTCTTGCTGCCTGAACGAAGCTCAAACCTCCTCCATGAAGGGAGAGTACTGGATATCTTGAGGGGGACGGGGGAGTGTGGCACAGGGAACAAAAGCCCCAGGTCCCACTAGCAGATCCTTTTCCAGAGAGCTAACACTTCAGTAAAGTCTGCAAAAGGAGGAGCCGGGCATGGTCCTGCTGTGAGGTGGCTTCCTAGTTCCTAGAAGAGGACCACGTGCACGAACAGCCACCATGCTCTTGGTTATGGCTTGACCGACGATCATGGGCAGTGGCCCGTCCTGTGAAAGTAAAAGGACATCAGGAGAAACTCGATACACGGAAAGGCCGCAGTGGGGGCAAAGCCCACACCGTTAAAACCACAAGTTAAAACCACAAGTAATCTGTAGTCCACTTGTTTTCAAAAGACATTCCCCTCACTCCCCTTCTTACCGAGACTCTGACCTCGGCGGTGTGTCCATCCTGCCATGTTTCAGGTGAGAGGGCATGCTGGCAACGGGGTGGTGTCTTCCCCACGCCATTGGGCCCCGCCCCCCAGCGTAGGAGGGAGACCCTGGCCTTGCGAAGGAGATCTCCTGGCCTCAGGTCTGCACTCCCGTCCAACCCACGCCCCCTCCCCTCGCGGCGGGAAGGGAGGGGAGACGAAAAGCAGGAGGAATTCCCGCAAACCCCCACCCCCAGCGCCTCAGGCTGGGGGCCGGGCAGGCAGCAGCCCTGCCAGGCTCCTCTGGCTTCTCCAAATCCTGCGCTCTCCCCCCACCTGCAGGCGGCGACCTCTCGGGAAGGGGGGACGGCATCCTTCCACGGGAGACACAATACACAGGTAAACGGAAATGCGAGGGGGAGTCCGCGGCAAGGGCAGGGGCTCAGCACAGGCTTTGAGCGGCCCGCGGCCGGCAGTCAGGCAGCGCGGGGCCGCGTCCCCGGGAGGACAGAGAGGTGGCCTTGGGGACAAAGGCCGCAACGTCTGTAACCAACCTGGGATAAGCGAGGGAGATCCCAGTTCCCCACAACCTGGGCCTCGGGGAGTTTCCTGCATCCTTAAAGGAGTTCTGATCTTCCTTGGGGGTGGAGGGTGCTCCTAAACCGGTCTGTCAGCTACGAAGTCAACTCACAGCCGTCTGGAAGATACTAAGCAAGGCGCTGCCGAAAATTAACCGCCAACGGCTCGCGCTTCTGCCGTTGGCCACGCCCGTCTCCCCGCCCCCGCGTCCCTCTTCCAATCAGAGGCCGCGCTCCTCCCCCGGCGCGCCCCCGCCGGCCTTCGTGGGTCACGTTCGCGGACGCGAGAGGGCTGTGCGGGCTTCCGAGGAAAGCTGCTCTGGTGAAGGTGGTGAGCGGGTGGGACGGGACGGAGCCCCAGGCACGCCGGAACGGGGGTCCGCCCCGGTCTAGTCTCCGGGGGCAGTGTCCTTTGCTTTATATTTACCAGGCCGTGGAATCATAGGCTGTGTGCTCCCAGAGTCCTCGCTGCCATTTCATCCTGCCTCGGAGGAAAACACCATCCAGAAGGCACTTGGCCTGCCGTCTCTCGAGAGTTAGGGGCAGAGCTGCAATTCCCACCCTCCTAACGTCCATTTCAGGCATTTTCCAACCAACCGAAGACCTCTCATTAAAGAGAATGCTTGATCAGCCTCATCCAGCTCCTGGGGCCCCAGACCCCTAAAGAAAGCTTGGCCATTGTCCCCCGCTTCCTTTCTCCCCTGCTTCAGGGCCTGGGGAACCGGGTTCTCACTCAGACCCTTAGCATCAAGTCTAGCCAAGGGGAGGGGGTGGCTGAGCTGATGAGAATGACCCTGACGGATGAGAGGAGGACAATGCCTTAGAGGCTAGTTGGAGGCGGCTCAGGTGTTAATATTTACTGGGCATCTATTTTGAAAGACTCCCTCCTGGAAAATTCAGAACGCATCATCCTATCTGAGCATCCCACATGCCTTATTCAAAAGTGCACATAACGTAAAGTTCACCATCTTAACCACTTTAAAGTGTACAATTCGATGGCTTTTACTATATTCATGACCTTGTGCAACCATTACCACTACTGATTTCCAGAACATTTTGTCAACCCACCCCCTTAAAAGAAGTCCCATACATACTAAACCGTCACTATTCTTTTCTTTAGCCTAGAGCAACACACTAATCTGTTTTCCATTTTGATGGATTCGTCTATTCTGGACACTCTGTGTAAATGAGATCACACAACATGTGGTTTTTTGTGTCTGGCTTTTACCTAACATAGTGTTTCCAGGGTTTCTCCATGCTGGAGCATGTATCAGTGCTTCATTCTTTTTAAGGCCAAATAACATTCCATTGCATACATGTACCTTATTTTGTTTATCCATTCACATTGGTGGACATTTGGGTTGTTTCTCCTTTTCGGTTATTATGAATAATTCCACTATCAACATTTGTGGGCACATTTTTGTTTGAATTTTTGTTTCTAAATTTTTTTTTTTTTGATATATACCTAGGAATGGAATTGTTGGGTCATGTGACAATTCTGTGTTTAACTTTTTGAGGAACTGCCAAAATACTTTCCACAGTGGCTATTCCATTTTACATTCCTACCAACAACATATGAAGGTTCTGGTTTCTCCTTATCAATGCTTGCTATTTTCATCTTTTTAAAAAAAAGATTATAGCCATTCTAGTAGGTGTGATGTGGTATCGCATTGTGGTTTTGATTTGCATTTTCCTTGTTGTTGATTTCATTACTTTTTTTGACTGGTTTTGTATAGTTTGTATCCTTCATAATGTGTGATCATTAAAGTCTTTTCTGTTAGATTTATGGTCAGCTAGTGATTTCACAGAAATTTCCTTAGATACTTGGAACTAAAACAAAAACAAAAACCCTCCTAGTTTTACTGGGTGGTGTGGTGTGTGTGTGTGTGTGTGTGTGTGTGTGTGCGCGCATTGGGACATGCATTCAATACTCAGCCAGACATTTTACAACTTTACCTTAGCCTTCACTTCCTGCTTGTGCAGAGCCCAGAGATCAGCCAGGGACAAGAGCTTAGGGCCTCCTCAAGTATTTTCTGAGCATGTTCCCAGCCCTGGGTATGTGTATTGCCTTTTAGCGTCCCAGAGATATATGGCAGCATTCCAAAAATACTTACTCTTTAAAGAATTTCTATTTCTTTCTTTAAAGAATTTCATTTTCCAGCCTTTCATTCCCAGGCTTTTTAGTTTAGACTATTGTTTCCCCTGGCTGTTAGTCCTTGCCTGAGGAAGCAGCAGCTAACACACTTGATTTTGAGTATTTTTGACAAATTCTCCCTGGGTAGCTGCTTCAACCTTGGGATAGTTCTGAGTTAGGTGAAATAGAACAAGCTTTTTGAGACAGTACTTCGAGAAGCCACCAGACAGGTCAAAACAAAAACTATAGTTGTTTGGAACTGGGTCTGGTTGGTTCCCTCTGGTGCCAGGTACGTACCGGAAATACCAGCTGCTGTCGTCAGGCCCCCGCCAACCTGGTGAGTGGGAGATAGTACCAGGTAGGGTAAAATGTCACATTTCATTGAGTCTCATCTGTGTTTTTCTCAGTTGATCATTCCTGTGCTTGCTGTATGATATTGATTAGATTCCAGAGTCCTGTAAATGTTGATTCTCACAGTTTCTTTCTTTCTTTCTTTTTTTTTTTGTCACTTTTTTCATTGCTCTTGTGGAAGAACAGACTTTTGGAGTTCCATACTCCACCATTTTTGCTGATTTCACACTCTCCATTTCTCTTATAGATAACTACTCGTTAGGAACTAAGTTTCTGAGAAGCTTAGTTACTTGCCCATGTTGCATCCAGTAACAGTAAGAATGAGGATTTGGACACAGATCATCTGACTCTAGAGCCTGTTTTATCCAATTGTTTATTGGATATTTATTCTCTCATTCAAGTAAATTAATTCTGACATCTACTAAGTGCTAGGTATAGTTCTAGAAATGCAGGATTATCTCACTGTACAAAATAGCAGATTTCTGTTCCTGAGAGCTTGTTTTTGGAGGCAGATTCATAATAAACTTTAATAAATATTTCATATTAGAACTTAAGTACTTTGAAATAAAGACATTGGGATGCTTATTTTGAATAGGGACTTCTATGGGAGTGATGTGAATATAATTTTTTAACATTTATTTTGTGTTGGTTGCAAATTTTGTAGAAAAGTTATAATAATAGTACATGATTTTCTAAGTATGCTTAAGCAGATCTATTTATGGTTAAAGTTTTGTTATATTGCTTTATCCCTGTCTTATTTGATAGTAAGTTGTATAAAATTGTGCCTGTTTACTTCTTCATAATTAGCTATTTTCGAAGAATAAGGAAATTCTCTTATATAAGCATGGAATAGTTATCAGTTAGGAAAATTAACATCTATACAATACTATTACCTAATCAACAGCTTATATTCTGATTCTAAATTATGCTACAGCCTCTCAATTGATTATCATATGAAATTACATTCTTTATCCCTGGCAGTAGTCTTTGTTCTGAAATCTACTTAGTTTCATATTGGTATAGCCACTCCAGCTTTCTTTTGATCAGTCATAGCAGTTTAGCTTTTCCCATTTCTTTGTCTTAATCTATTTGTGTCTGTATATTTAAAGTGAATTTTGTGTAGGCAATGATAGTAGGGATTGCTTTTTTTAAAAATCCATTTTAACAATCCCTGTCTTTTTATTGGGTGTTTAGACCATTTACATTAATGAGATTATTGATATCATTAGATATAAGTATACCACATTATAGATTGATTTCTATTCATCCCATATGTTCTTGACTTTTATTTCCTCTTCATCTTGCTTTCTTTTAAATTAATTGAACATTTTTCTCCATTTTCTCTCTTTTATTGGCTTATGAACTATAATTCTTTGTTTTGCCATTTTGGTGTTTGTTTCAGGACATATAGTATACATCACTAAATTATCACAATTTACTTTCAAGTGATTTTATACTACATCATTATATTACAGGAAGCAACCTCTCTATAGTATATTTCATTTAATTCCTAGTAGCCTTTATGCTATCTCTGCCATACATTTCATTTCCACATATATTATAAACTTTACATGGCAAAGTTTTTCTCTTAAATATAACTATTTTTAAAGAGATTTAAATAATAACAAAATCTTACATGTTTATCCATATAGCTATCATTTTCACTGCTCTTTATTCTTTTGTGAAATTTTATATTTCCATCTGGTATCATTTTCCTCTGCCTGAAAGACTTCTTCATCAAACCTTGTAGTGTGGCTTTGCAGGCATGAATTCTTCTTGCTTTTGAATGTCTAAACAAATTATTTATTTGCATTAGTTTTTGAAAGATACTTTCACTGGATATTGAATTCTAGGTTGACAGCTTATTTTTTTCATTACTTTAAAGATGTTGCTTCACTATCTTCTTGCTTGCATTGTTTCTGACTAGAAATCTGCTAGTGCCCTAGTCTTTTTTTTTTTTTTTCTTTATGTAAGGTGTCTTTTCCATTGGTTGCTTTTATGGTTTTCTCTTTATCACTCGTTTTCAGTAATTTTATTATTTGGCTTAGAGTGGTTTTCTTTGTGTTTCTTGTGCCTGGGGTTTGTTAATCTTTTTGAGTCTGTGACCTAATAGCTTTTATCATGTTTCAAGTATTTTAAGCCAATATTTCTTCAGATTTTTAAAAAATATCTCACTTTTATATCCTCTCTTCTGGCGACTCCAATTATAGGTATAATAGGCAGCATGAAGTTGTCCTACTGCTCACTCACGTTCTTTTCATTTTCTTCTTTTATTATTTTTTTCCTGTATATTTCACTCTGGTTAGTTTCTATTGCTGTATCTTAAATTCACTAATCTTTTCCTCTCCAATGCTAATCTGAGTTCTTAGTCCCATCCAGTGTGTCTTTCACATCAAGCATTTGTAGTTTTCCTCTCTAGGTATTCAATTTGGGTCTTTTTTGCATCTTCTTTGTCAATATACTAACTTTTTGAACATATGGGTTACAGTTATAATAACTGTCTAAATGTCTCCGCTAAGTCTAACATTTGTGTCCAGTTCTGGTTGGTTTTAATTAATTGACTTTCCTCCTCATTATAGGTTACATTTTCTTGCTTTTTTACATGCCAGGTAATTTTTTATTGGATGCCAGACATTATGAATTTA